GTTTTGAGAATCGAAGGATGGTTAAACTAACATGTGATGCTTTAAAGCCTTATTTCTGTGTATGGTTTTCCATGTGTTAGTACTGTACATAGGTGCAGCCATATTTACCCATTGCATTTGCAGCGTCTGCCTATTTTCTCCACAGTTCAGCGCACCGATTGTTCTTTATTGTTCTCTCTGTGCTCATCCAGCAGTCTCCTTGTTTGGAATTAAACATATAAACGCTAAATTGGATTTTCCTTTTAAATGGCCACACACACACGATAGTCCGTTTGTGCAAACGCATTTATATTGACCAACAACTATGTACTGCGAGGGACTACCTGTTGGATGCTAATTAAATGGATCCTTTTTAGAACATTGTAATGCGTACTTGTTGGTAAATCTAAAGCTGGGTAGACACTGTTACAATTTTTTGTTTGAAAAAGAAAATTTTTTTAATTTTCTACTAGAAAATAGTTTTCATTGGTAGTGATGGGTGGGGAATAAAAGGAGCGGGATGGAATTTAAACCATAAAAGCGGTTTTCGTTCAGGAAATTCCATTTAGTCTAAAATTGAATGGTAAAATAAGAGAGAATGTTGAATTACATTCTTCAAGTCTGATGGCAATATCGAATTTTTCTAACTTGACATTCGTATGAAATTCTACCTGTGTATACCCAGCTTTAGGGAATTTGTGCAGAGATTGTCCAATCAGATGTGTGTGGCCAGTTTGATATTTTATCTCTTATAACTCAAACGATTTATCCCCTCACAGCTACCTCCTCATGTATCACTTGCCCCTCCCTTTTAGACTGTAAGCCCTCAAGGGCAGGGCCCTCACCATCTTGTCTTGAATTGTATTGTGATTGTAGTGTCTTCCTTATATTGTAAAGCGCTGCATAAACTTTTGGCGCAATATAAATCCTATATAATAATAATAATAATCATGTAGTGTGGAAACAACCCATTAAGTTCAACTCCAGTCCGGTAGGCCTTCTCGTTACCCATTGTATAGATTTAGTATCTTGTCCGATGTTCAGAGAGAAGCGCTGATCTACTCTCCGATTTATCTTCAAGATGCCGCTAGTGTACAAATTTCCCATTCCCTTTTAGATCTATGAAAGTCCAAAGTGAAGTTTGTACCAAAAGTTCCTTTCTGCTCAATGTTACAGTAAACGCATACAATGTACTTCCTGAAAACACACTCGAGGTTCTTGCTAAATCCCGGCTCTCTGGATGCTGATGTTTTATCTATAGAGGGGTTGATGATCCAGGCTTTGTTGCTCATTGTCATGTTTTTGTGCAGGTGTTCAGAGTATTATCGAGCCACACAAAGGTCACAGTTTGAAACAGAGACCTGGATTTAGGTAATATTCAGATCAGGGCCGGCTACAGACACCAGAGATTCCGTGGATTTGTCGGGAATACATCCAATCAAGGGTGGATTTACAGGGGAATTATGAAGCCTTGTCCTTTTTCTGCTGTCACTTTTTCCCCCAGGCGGTTCACGCATCGAAATGTTCCCCCTTGAGCCGGTCTGTAGAGCGGAGATGACTTTTACACTACATCATTTTGTTTTTGACACTCTGCAGTGGCAGTGCCCGCCATTGACATCCTGTGGGGGGGTGCAGGCTATAAAAAAAAAATCCAGCTTGTGTGTCCGATGCACAAGTCTTGAATACGAGCAGCGTTTGTATTATAATTACTTTTTTTTGCCGAGTCTGTGGTTCTCTTGCTCGTACTGAATTTTTTGTTTGTCTCTTGGGACATTTTATAGCAAAATGCATGAGAAATACTGAATCGTCGGTCCGCACGTACTGCTACTGTAAGCAGCTCCACGGGAGAGTACATTTGTTCTGTAACGTTTCTGAAAACCTCACAATATGACAGCATATAATTTTCTCAACGCAATATAGGAAGCGGCCTACGGTTTTGTTTTTTTCTCCGGCGGCGGTTTTAGAATTGACACATCAAGCCTGCGGAATTAGTATAAATTTGAGGAAACTGTTTTGATAAGCACCGACATTTATCACTTTTTTTTCCCAGGCATGCTGGTGATTCTCGCTTCATCAAACGCATAATGCAGTCACAAAATATCATTATCCAACATAAAAATAGAAGGAAAACAGAAGGTGCCAGATACAGAAAAAGAAAAGGTTGACTTTGTAAGGGAAAGGACATTCGAATATTTTTATTTTTGAATTTCTTTGACCTTGAGGAAGGGGGTGAGAAGATGGCTGAATATTTAGTTTTTTCTTTTTTTATAGAACTTTATCCAATGGAATGCCACAGCCTGAAATTGGCATTAATTAAATTGCATTAATCTGTTGAGGAATCACAACCTTGTCTTTGACTTCCACTCCTAGGGCTTCCAACCAAAAACCTCCAACATTTTGAAAACACTACCCTTACGTCCTCACTACAGCTTGATATCTTGTTGCCCTCAAGTGGGAAAAAAGCTAAGGCACTACACTGCTGGATTTATAGTCTCATATAAATTATGTTGATCATATGGAAAAGCTTACAGCATCATAACATAATCATGGTCAACATGGAAAGAATTATGAGCCCGGCTATCCATTCAGAATATTTTCTGAAACCTCAAATTAACTTTGCACTTGAAGATTAACAGAGTGTCTTACTAATGGGGGACTGCACTCCTAGGACAGATTCCCCCCTTTTTTTTCAAGATCCACTTCATTACGACCCCCTGCCCATACAGACCCCATACATGCTGTCCCCATTCTGTCCCTGCCCATACAGACCCAACCTTGTAAATGTTTACACGGTTGGGTCTGAATGGGCAGGGACAGTATGTAGACATACCAAGTCTACAAAATCGAAGGATAACCTCGCTCACTACATCTTGGACATATGTAAAAGTCAAGTTCTACAAACTTTCCACACTCAAGGATATGTCTTTTTTATTTTTATTTTTTTGAGACCTAACTTCCACTACTACTACCACCATAGCAGAGGATTAAATATCCATGCAAATGTATTTTGTTGTCAAAACCTACTGTACAATGACAAACTTTATTGGAAACTATAAACTATGGCTTTATCGATTATAACTGTTATTGCTTTTAAATGTATTATATAATAATCCATACATATTATTTATTATATAATATTATTGTTTTTTTTTTAAAGACAATTATTTCTAAAAAAAATAGAAATCCGTTTTTAAATTATACAACAATATAAAATTCCAAAAAGCAGAAGTTGCATGCGTGTTTTACATATACGGTACACCCCGATGTTGTGAAAGTGATGTTGAACTAGTATATTAGTTATTAAATGGGGCGCTTCTCCCAATCATGATTTATTATTGACGAGCATATACAGTATATAATACAAACTCTTACGGATGAGCGGAGACTTAATGAAAAGAAAGAAGCGAATTCAAGGGACAAAAGGGGATAATAAAAGTAATTGACACTTGCTTTAAATTGTTTCAGTTCGATGGAAATCTTAATTTGCTGGGGTTCTTTTAACATCGATATCTGAATATATAATAACATGTTAGGTCTGATGTGCTGATTTTCAGCACAATATAGTCCTAAATAACAATGGCAGGGGTACGTGCACACAACCACCTCCATTCCTGCACAGAAAGCAGCTGATTTTCTGCTGCAGGTTTAAGCCTCCTTTGCTCAGTCTTTAATCTTTTTCTATTTAGCAATGCTTGCAGCTTCATGCATTCTGTATTCAGTCCTTTTTCTTTATTGCTTTGTCACGGTCCCTTACAGAAGGCAAACAAAGTACCAACAATGGAGTGGATGACTTGTAAATCTGTCTCTGGGTAACATTAGATATCTAATAGGTATGATGGGAAATAGACGTTTTGTAATAGCTGTAAGTGATGCATGTATTTTCAGGCTTATGTTTACAAGAACAGCATTTATATTTGTGTGTGCCTGTGTTTTGTTCTGTTAATAAGAGTTGTCATTGCCCACTTTTTATAGCGACCAGTGCAGCCTTTGGGGCAGACAGGAAAAAGGTCGAAGGTACAGTAGCTGTCTTTATTGCTGGCATGCTATATGGTTTTTGTGTGCAGTTCCGGCATTAATGTGCTGTGTTTTTTTGTTTTGTTTTTTTCCTTGCCTATGTTGCCTGAAGTTCTCGTTCCACTTTTCAGTGTATGGAGTTTTTTTTGTCTTTTTTTTTTTTTTTTGCCTGTACTATTTTTGTTATGCAATTTAAAATGCTTCTGGACTTTGCCGAGTTGAATGCAGTTTGCACTGTGGCCTGAAGCTTCACTGCTCCTGACCTGCAGTTCTGTTGTAAATTGACTTTCTTTAGTCGAGTTCAAAGTTAAAGCTAGTTCGAAGCCTGGCGGTTTGTGAAGAGTCCCCTCCTCCCTCCACCGCTGACTCCCCGCTGGACATACAGGTAATAAACTGCCCTGAAATGTGGTGTGCAGTTTAGTTTTCCCACTTGTGTTACTCAGTTCATCTCATTTTAAGAAGTTCTCCTGTTTAAGTGTTGTATTTACAAGAGGCAAGTCTGACCCTAAGTATTGTGCCCCAGTACAGCTCCTAACCTTAGTTGTGATTGTAAGCCTCACATATTAACAAAGCTGGGGAGATGCCTGGTACCCCTGAATGAGGTATAAGGAGGATTGCCTATTCATCTGTTACACAGTTTGGTTGACCACCAACATATCCACCCCAGTGCTGATACTATTGGGCATGTGGGATTACCATGCCTTAACCCATCTAATTGTATAGCAGATGCATGTGCAGTACTCTCTGCATTACATAATCCAAGGTGCTAGTGATCGCATTGGTTGGTCATCAGACAGCAGGGTTCTTGATACCTGCCCACACTAAAACTGCTGTTCAGGTCAACAATTGAAGTGGCTAGCTGTAGCTAAGCTGCTCTTGTGCTGAGATAACTACAGGCTTTCCCTTCCACTTAGTGTAATAATTTTTTGGTTTAGAACTTCAAGTTGGGTATCCCAACCAGTGTTTTATAAGCCACATGTGCTTCTCAACCATCTTCAAAATGGTCATGGTTATCATTAAAAAAAAATAATCATATAGTGCAAAGGTCACAGAGGTCTTATTTCATTTAGTATCTCCTTAACCTGCAAAAAGCTAATACGTATCTTCCTGTGTGTCTCAGTGACCCTACTGGTAAAATCCCATTCCGATTCCATAAGTCAAATGACATTGTAATTTCCCCTTCTGCCATTACAACCAATAAATTTCTCATCTGCCCAATGCTGCGTCAAGATTTGCCGATGATGTTTGGCTTCCAAAGGTCATGTGACACTAGCACTCTGTCATCGCGGTCATTTCAGACAACTTGCCTACTCCAGTGTTGCTCCCCTGTTGTCCCAAAGTTTACTGAATTTTACTTGAGAAAGAGGAGCGACATCTCTCTGGATGGCCAATGAGGGAGCAGACAAGAGTAGATGTTTGTCTGCTCTCATAGCGATACTGTTGATGGCAAATTTTCATCTGCACCAGGATTGTAATATTGGTCATAATGGTATGGTTAGGTATACACTTAATCATCCCTCCTAGCCCTCCTGGCTACCTATGGTAGCCATCCCTTAATAAGAACAACCACTGCCTGCTTAATTGTTCACATCATTTGGCAGAAATCTTCGTTACAGCTGGTCACGCCTGTGCAGAGAAACTTTGTGTAGGCCCAGTTTTGGAAGATTGCCCTATGCAAATCCTTGAGGGCTCACTCCACAGGTACAACCAACAGTAAGGAGGACTTTGGCTGAAGAGGGGAATTGATCAAAACTGGCGCAGACGAAATGTAGAGTAACTGTGCATGGCAACCAATCAGCTTCTCTTTCAGATCTTAACTGAATAGAGAAGCGGATTGGTTGTCTGAGCAACTGCTCCCGATTTTGTCTGCGAATGCTCCAGTTTTGATAAATTCCCCTCAATTTAGTTTAACATTCAAAGTGGCAATCTGGCACCTTTTTTGTTTTTCTCTAATGTTTTGTAGCCAAAGTTTTAACAAAGTTTTGTTTCTCAAAGTTGAACGTTGGTGGGGGGTTTGCGCAAGACAAAACCTATAAATATCTGAACGATCCACTTTAAGAAATGGATTGCAAGTTTCTAATTCTGCTCGTCAATAGAGGCTGTTAGCTCTGAATACTCATTTCCACTTCCACAGTAATAATCAAAGGCTTACTGAAGACTTTCGCAAATAGTCATGCCTTTTAAGTGTAAAGTAATATATAATGTGTGCATTAAAAGCATCCTCATGCATAATGACTGCTTTTAGGTGAAATGTGCTTTTAAGATGTCAGTGTAGTTTCCAGACCAGTTAATGTCTTTCCTTTCTTGGCTTTAAAGTATCGAGGGAGGGGGAAGAAAAAAAACTGCCTTTGTTTTTTGGTGGTGCGTTGACCCCTCCTCCAGCGCAATATTGTTTTTAGTGCACACTATCTTGATCTGCAGCATTAAGAGTAATTTGTCCTGTTCCTTTGCACTTTCAACTGAAATGCATTTAGATGGGGGTGATGTGAAGGAAGAGATTGGTATAGCTTACGTTGTGGCCGATTATGTGCCGAATTTCAGCTTAGAAAGATGTTTTTTCTTTCTTTCATGTGGGTGCATATGATGGAGAGCGTCATACCAACAGTAGATGTTTCAATCATCTCTGATAATAAAGGACAACTAATTATAGGTTTTGTGGTTTTAAAGTAAGCTTAAACTAAAGGCAGAACTTTTTAAATAGACTAGGGAAGGGTTAAAACCCCTGCCAGATTTTTATTGCTGCTCCCTGGCTACAAGTCTCTCTGAAGGACAGATTTGTAGCCGAGCACAACCAATCCAATGCTGTAGCAGTGACAAATCTCCAGCAACCCTAGCGATTGAACCATTAAATTTGCTGTTAATCGGTGGTATTGACTATTTTGTAGCCACGGTAAATTGCTGCTACAATATTGCTCATTTGACATGGCCCTTTATTTGTGCTAGTGACCACTGCTGACAAAGTGATGGGGGATGCAATACTTTGAGTTGTCTCAAACAGGAATTGACAACTACCCTTTTACTTTGGAGAGTTTTCCTCTCCCTTCCTGTTGGACCACAAGTAAAGGTGGCAAATGGGAAAAAAAACTGACATAACCCTTCCCTTTTCTAGTGAATACATGAAAATGATTGCTTATGCTTGTTCCTGGTCAGAAACTTGCCAAGTAATGAACAGGTGAAAAAAAAACATGCCTGAACTCTGAACCTTCAAACGCAAATTGGTTATGGCAGCTGCCATATTTCTATTCAGTCAGGTTTTCCTTTTTAATGGTGCAGATCTCTGTGACCACATGTTAAATGTAGTCTGGTGGTTGGTACAGAAGTACTTCTCCTCCCCCTCTCTTGACTGACAGGGTCTATTCACAAAAGAGTGAAGAGTTTGCATAAGGCAGGAGAAGTGAACAATCTAGGACAACATAGCTGGACTGGAAAGTGAGCTGAGTTGGCGCAAACTGTTGGCGCTATATAAATCCTGTATAATAATAAAATCTTTACAACAACTTTTTGAGTAAAAGACACCCTCAATGTAATATATTTTAAGGGTGTTTTGGTGTCAACGGGACAGGAAGTAATGGGTGATCCACCTGGCATGGGCACAGACCACGATAGAAACCTAACAATGGTCCTGACCCTTCAAGCATTTTTGGCTTTGGAAGTGGATTGGTTCTTGCGGTACAACAGCTGAGGCATCAAGGAATTTTGCGCCTTGTTTAGCCAGCCAGGTTATGGGACACGGTTAATCGGATTTGTTTACCAAGGTAAACATAGACAAGGGCTAAGTAATTGTTGTCATCCATAAACCATTCATCAACTGAACAGCCGCTGATTTCAAACAATAGAACCGCAGGCTTAGCGGATGACATCGGCTATTTATGTAGTCAATCAATGTTGTACACTGTCGATATGAATGAATCTTTTGTACAATAAGCAATAATGTACAACTGCACCTGTTAGAACAGAAGACAATTGTGCATTTTCTTTTTAATTGTAGTAATGAAGATTTTGAAGCTTTTAGGTAATTCTAGTTTTGCTAGAGGATCATAAACACATGGGATTTTTTCCAAATAATGGTGTGGTAAACTTTAGTCTAGGCTGGTTCTTTTTGTTTTTTTTATTCCCCTAGAAGATAATACTTTTAAATTCATAATACTTTTTTTGGGGGGGGCACCATACACATTGCTGAAGTTCAAACCATCGTTTGAACCAGCTATCGTTTGATTCTACGTCCGCTTTTAAAAAGCGTGCAACGCAATGGTTGAATCGTTCGGGGTCATATGTCGGCTGTCCTTTCTGGCTCCAGAGATCTGACAGCCAGATTTTAGTTGCTATAGCAACATCTCACTTTTTTTGTCATAAGGTGAGCCTGTAAGCTATTTTACATTTTAAAAAGTAATGGTCCTGTCTCGGATTAGTTATTGCCGGGTACCTGATATTACCTTCTCTGACTAGAAAGCCTTCTTTTGTGTGCCTTCTATGATTTTTTTTTTTACTTTGATGTT